TACCTTACAGAGCCTCTTATAAAATTGTACCAGTGGCTCATCTGTCTTCTGAATTATTTCTGAGGTTTTTGCCGTGTTTGTAGGGGTTTTTTTTTGTTTGTTGTTTTTTTTGTGTTTGTTTGTTTGCACTGGCTTTCATTTCCTGCAGGAGTGCCTCTAGATACTTGTTGAGATGGACATGGCCACTCTTAGTATTGAAACCTCAGTCAGGCTTTTCATTCAGAAAAGCAGTTCTGGCCCAAGCCTTGGGATCTCCTACATCACTGGGGGCATGCTCTTCTGGCTCTGGTGAGACAGATAGGGATGGAATTTTGATAGCTGGCTCAGCTGGGGCAGGGGTATATGGGGGTGGAGCTGCTAATGGCTCCTCTTCAGGAGTGCCTTGCAAAATGGGAGCTGGAGTCATAGGTTTCTTTTGGCCAGAGGCAGGCACATGTGGCATAACACAGGTGGCCAGAATAGTACATTGAATTTTTTTCCTCTAATGCAAACCCCACACCCAATGCGGAAGGGCTTGGTAGACTTGTAGCCAGGAGTCAGCATATGGGGACTGGTCAGGATGGCCTGGGGTGTCAATAACCACATTATACGTAGCCCAAATGTTGGAAAGATGTAAAGTTCTCTCTGGCTGCCATCCCACCTTAAAAGAAGTCCATTTAATCTCACAGAGGGCTTTTAACCTTTCCAGTTTTAATTTAACTCTATAATCACCAGAGAAGCCCTTTTTAAACTTAGCATACAGTCCAGCACAGTAGGCATGGAAGACTTGGATTGGGGTTTTCCCATGTTGGCGCCAAGAGATGTGGCCCAAGTATCTCTAATCTCTCCAGAGGGCTTGGGAGATCACTGGCTAGAGGAAGCTTTTGAGTAGATGAGAAATGTTGTCAGGCGGTGCTCCATTGATGTGATTTTGAGTCAAAGTCAAATTTAAATTATTTAATTTTAACATGGTTAGGTAGAGAAATTTGGCAGCACTTGTTGGGGGGAAGCCTCCCCCTCTTTTTCTGTTTTACATAAATTATGCATTTGTTTTATATGTTGATGTATATTTTACAAAAAGCAAAAACTGTTCAACAGATTTCCTGAAATAGAACAAAACATTTTTATTGATAACAGTTTAAGATTTTATCTATTTGAAAAAAAAAAAAAACTTTAGAAGGCAGAAACAAAAACCTCAAAGCAACTTCCATGAACAGAAAGTCCTGAGCACCCTAGGGATGAGAAAGGGTTAATTTAGTGTTGATCAGCACTAAACAGAGTTGTTAGGCTGCTGTTATTAGGGCTACAAGATCATTAAGAGTTGCCAAGTTGCTATGGGGACTGAGCTACAAGGTCACCACCAGCTGTAAATTTCCTTCAACATTTCTTCATAATCCACATTAGCATTTTTAAAGGCCAGTTGCTTCAAAAATGCCTCAGCTGAATCTATATTCTCTACTTGCCTTTGCAAAGATTTTTGCAACCTATCTATAAATGTGTCACAGTTGGGAGGAACTCGTGTTCCAGCTTCCAGAGACAAAATTAGTGACCTGACATCTACTCTACCTATCTACCTCTATAGCAAAAACCCTCCCAACGGCCCCTGTGTCCTCCCTTCCATGAATGATGTCACGAAACAAAGGACAGGTGTCCGCCCACACTGAAAGGGAGACCAATCAAGTGTCTGACCATGTCCCTTGCAGGATTTTTGTGTTTCTTTGGCAATAAGCAATTGGATATAGAATCTCCACCAGCTTACACACCTAGAGAGGGAAGGGGGTCCCTCAGCATGTAATTCTGCTGTTTAGCCTTTCCAGAAACACCACAGTACTGCAGAAAACAGACTCAATCATGTTCATAGTCCAATGCATCGTGGAGCCACAAACATATTTACTCATCACATTCACATTCACTCAGAGATTAAACATTTCCTCCCCACACCAACCGATTACCAGATGCAGATGAACCTTGACTGCCAGTCCTGTGACCAAAGTAGAGTTTATGGGTCTCCTCTTCCACTCAAACCAAGTGAGTCTGACTGATAGGACTCTACAGATCCCTGGGGGCTTACCAGATTACCAGAGTTGACCACTGATGATGCATTATGGTCCAGAATGGGAGTTGCTTCTTTTCTCCAATTGGAGTCCGATGAGCCAGAAACGTTCGACCTCAGGGCAGGCACCCTGGCTGAGGGGTCCCATCAAGCGAGATGAGGGCGCACCTATTTCTCCACACCACAGTGCCCACCCCAGAGGAAAACACCCTGGGATCGGCGACTCAAAAGGCTAGTCTGATTTCGCTTCTTGGCCAATTCACCAAATGTTGCAGAAAAACATATGCAAAAGAACGAAAGCACAACACTCTGGGGAGGAAAAAGGAGAACTCTTATTATTATGCTAGTGGACAGAGAGGAGTTAACACTCTGAGTCTCTGGTCCCAGTAGGGGGTTAGGCACAGTCTTCTATGGGTGAATTGGGGAAGAGCAGTTTCAGCATGCATGGAGTGTCCTATCAGGATAAGGACTCAGTGTCCGCCCTAATTCAGAACTGGCAGAAAAGCAGGGAATTTAACCTCCTCAAGGCCTCCAGCGACTTCACAGCTCATGGGAAGGGAAGCTAACTTGTGGGGGAACAGAAAGCCCAGGCGGTTATCAGCCTTGGGCTACTTCAAGGTTCTCCACAAGTTCCAGGTTGCTCCACATCAGTATAACAATGGAGAACAAGGACAATACAACCTTTTAAGCAAAACTACCTTTGACAAATGTAAAAGCTTCTTTATATGTCAAGTATATGGTTTTAGGAGTAGACTTCATACAAATGTGAACAGGCATGCTGCTATTGAATAAACAAACAAAAAAATATGATTTATTTATTATTTTATTGCCAAAGGCATGTGTGATCACAGGGGTGGGTGTGGTGGAGAAAGCACTCTCAGTGGGGTGTAGTCATACTGCAATTCCTTCTTCATTTCTTTATCCTGTTGGGATTTGGGGCATACACACACACACACACACACACATACATTCCTGGTGTGTTTTTCAAGCTTCCAGAGCTGGAATTTGAACTGCAATCCTCCATGTGGGATCCAACTCACTTAATATTAGGCTGTGGGGCTGGTCCTGTACCACAGTTATCTTATTCATTCACTTTCTGAAGAACTACGTGGTCACTTCTAAATTTTGACAATTATAAATAAAACTGCTATAAACTTCCATGTACAGGTTTTTGTATAGGTATACCTTTTAAAATCTTCTGATTAAAGACCAAGTACAGGATAAGAGATTGCAACATGACCACACCTCATTAGGGGTGATTTCTCCCTTTTTCCTTTTTCTCTATCTCTGGCTCTGTATCTCTCGCTGGTGATCACAGTGTTCTATGGTCAAGAAAGAAAAGGAAAACTATGGCATATACAGACAATAGAAAAATATTCTAGGCTTGAACAATGAGTTATGAATACATGGAAAGACTTTGAAAAAAACATAAGTATATTTTACTAAGTGAAAATCCAATATAAAAAGCTTACATATTATATGAAATCAACTATATGACATTCTGGAAAAGGGAAAATTATGGAGACAGTAAAATTGTCAGTGGTTGACAGAGGTTAAAGGGGAGGAACTGATGAAGAGCCAGCATACAGAGGACTTTTAGGACACTTAAAATTCTATGTTATGATAATGGTAGATTTCTATTATTATTCATTTGTTCAAAACTATAGAACACACAATAACAAGAGTGGACCCTAACGTAAATTTGGGTGACAATTATGTGTAAATGTAGATTCATTAATTGTAATAAACCTACTTCTCTGCTAGTTGAAGCTGATAATAGGGGAATCCATGCTGTTCCTCTCAGTTTTGTGGTGGTCCTAAAACTGCTCTAAAATAAAAAGACAGTATAGAAACAAGAGGTAGATCGGGAACCAGCAGTTGGCGTAATGGCTATGTCGCTGGACTCCCACATAGTCGACTGCGGTTCGCGTCCCGGACCCGGTGGCTTAAAACTCACGCCGAGCGCGTGTGCATGCGTGCCCAAGATCCCGAGAGGAGAATGGAGGAGAAGGGATTGCGGCATGACCATTCCCCCTGGGGGGTGATTTCTCGCTTTCTGTCTCTCTGTCTCTCTTTTTCTGTCTGGCGAGCACACGCGCCCTATAGTGAAAACACCTCAAAAATAAAAAAGAAAGAAAGAAAGAAAAAGAAACAAGAGGTAGATCTTGTTGGGAGGCAATTGCCTACTGATCTCTTGAAATTTCTATATGCCTTATGCCTGGATGCACTGGTAGATTTTTATCTTGAACTCCTTTTTTTTTTTTTTTTAAAGTTTTTTGTTACAGAGCACATTTATTTTCCCAAAACAGACAGAGAGAAAAAGTGAGAAATTACCCCCCAGGAGAGATAGCCACACTGCAATCTCTTCTCCATTCTCCTCTTGGGATTTTTAGGCATGCATGCACATGTCCCAGGTGTGATTTTTCAAACTGCCAGTTCCAGGACTTGAACTGCAGTTGTCCCTGTGGGAGTCCGGTGTCTTAACCACCACACCACCTGCTGGCCACTCAAACTGTCTTTTTTTTTTTTTTTAAAGACATTTTCAGGCCCATCCTGGTGTGTGGTCAATAGCATACTGAATTGCAGTGCCGGAAGGTTGTAATAGCTAACTGGTTAGAATGCCTAGCCAGGTGAGCCTGGAATATGCTAAGCATAGCCCAAGATCCTGATGAGTTGGGGTACTGGGAGCAGGGGATCATAGACCGAGAAGACCTTGTCATGGATTCACTCTCTCTCTCTCTCTTTCTCTCTCTGTGTCTCTCTCTCTCTGTCAAGAGGTTTTATAAAAATTTATAATGTTTGGGTAGACTCCAGTCTGAGCTTCCCAAGCTGTATAGCATGCTGCCAGGAGGTTTGGACCCATGGGAAACTGCAGTCAAATGGGGCATCCCATGTGGGGCAATCAGGAATGTGGCAATAGCAGTAATCTCTGCCTACTTCATGGCAGTTTTTCTTATTTCTTTTTTAGCTTTAAAAGCATCAACTGGAATAATTTGCATTTAAGAGTTGGTTCAACACCAAGACTTGCTGTTGTGCAATGACTAACAATGAAGCAATATCATCCAACCAAGAAAGGCTCTTGTGTTACAATGGGGAAGTCCTTGTTTTTCAGTTATCCAAAGGAAAATCTGCAGATAAAGAGCCTGCAAAAACACCCATATTACATGTCAGAAGAATGGTTTTTGACAAAGGAGCAAGCACATTTGTTCAGAAGTCCACTGGATTCTTCAGCATAAAGGAAAAAACTTCTCATTTTAAAATTATGTATTGCAGCTGTGTATCAGATTTCAGAACTGGAATTAACCTACCTTGTGTTTTGATACAAAGCAATAAAAAGGAACACATTTTCAAATATTTTCTACTATTTCTTCATAGCAGTAATAAATTTGAAAAGCGTTTGAACTTTAAACTAGACCATGATTTGAAGGATGGCATAAGGGTCTTTAATGGCCCTTTAGTTTTTTGGAAACATATCAAAACATTCTGCTGTTTCTCTTCCCAAACTGATGAAGTTATTAACATGTCAGTTAATTTTACCTCTATTGAATGGGTAGGAAAGATTGAAAATCTAGGCATAGTTTTATTGGGACTAAAGGAATGTTATTTATCTGAGGAAGAATGCACCCAAAAGCCTTCAAAATCAGGTAATGCAACTCAGAATACCAAATTCTGTGTATACTCTCTTGAAAATCAAGAAGTATTAAGTGATACATACATTATTCCTCTTGCTTATAGTAGTTTGGTAACTCACATCCATGTCTGTGCAACTGAGATTATCAACAACCAGTTAAGAATGTCTTTGATTGCCCTTACTCAAAAGAATCAGATTATTTCATTCCAAAACGGAATTCCTAAAAGTGTGTGCCAGCTTCCATTTGGAGATCCTTGTGCAGTTCAACCTATGGATTTAGGTGGAGGAAACCTCTTTTTCATCATATCCTTTGGGTCTAATGATGTATGTGCTGTTTGGGAAAAGAACTTTCAGATTGCTGCTAAGTGGGGAGGAGTTAGCTCAGTTCTGATAGATGACCTTCTTGGTACTGGAACTGAACAATTACTGTTACTTTATAAGAATTCATTGAACCCAGAGTGCCTGAATTCATTTAAAATAATAGATTTTGGCAGCATGAACTATTCAAGGGAATTGCTGGATAGCAACAAATACTATTTATCTGAAGACTCACAAGAGAATTGTTACTTGGCGGTTCCACCTCTGGAAAAAAGATTAAAGGTTGGTTTTGCTTCTATTTTGGAATTACAGAAGCATATCTTGCTTAAGGAAAAAATCATTTCAAAATCCCAAAAAGCTTTAATAAACCTGGTTCAAGGGAAAGATGATAATATATCAAGTACAGAGGAGAAATGTCTTGTTCCTCTTAGTGGTAAAGAAGAAACTCCTGTCCATACCCTTGAAAAGTTACCAGACAATTTCCAATATTCAAAACAGCTAGTAGAGAAGATATGGTACCGTGTGATAGATGATAGCTTGGTAGTTGGAGTGAAAACCACATCTTCTTTGAAGCTGTCTGTGAATTATGTGACTTTATCATTGTTAATGGATCAAACCCATAGCTCCAGCTTTAGGTCTATAACATGTCGAAATAGGGTGATTGAGTTGAACCCAGATTCTTTCTTATTACCACACTTGAAGACATATGAAATAGAATCAGAAGCCAAAAGGATAAAGTTGGCCCTTAACGGTGATGAAGAGGAAAATTTTGTTTGTAAACAGTCACCCAAGAAAGAGTG